CAGCCGGGCGGATGGCAAGCCAAAAACCAACCATGGTCAACGGCTCCTATTGTGCACTCAAAGCTGTTGTTTCCGGCCAAAACGCCCCGAGCACGTACAGTAAGTCATGCGTGAAGGATCGCATTATCTCACTGCCGATCGGCGCCTGCCTGTGGGTGGTACAGCAAGTAGCTTGACATTTGCTTCGAGTAAAAAAGAGCTTTGCACGCTATGATGCTGCGACAGGGCGAGGAACGGTTGTGGTTCCGACAACAGCGTGGTGCGATGTCGGATTCTAATCTTTAATAAAAATATACAAAACCAATTGCAAATGCACGGTAAAAATGCAACGTTAAAGAGAGCGTTCCCTGTGTGTATGGGGTTTTGAACACACATCACCATTTTGGAAGATCATTCGGTGCAGTTCACAGTTCACATGTCACAGCCCTCTTAAGACCTAAAACCCTCGAATTTCTGGGCTAAACGCCCGCGAAGACGTAGAGACTATTCCGTACGGGCTATTCAGAGATTATTTAGATACGCATGACGCCATAGAAATGGCATTTAATGCCTGCCACCCCTTTGACCACGCGGCGTCCAAGACCAAGAAGATTTTGATCGCCGAGCCGTTTATACATGGCGTTCATGAGCACGATTTACAAATATTACGGACGTCAATTGACTCTCAAACAAGGTGGTAGAGACTGTGCAAGTTACAACCAAAAATCATGCTTCACGCTACATAATGCAGGAAGCTGTATATGGGTTCTAGCTATTATTTCAAAAAATGAGACTTGCCATTGAATAACTTAGGAGAAGTGCCATAAACGAGTAGCTGAATGCTAGTAGCACCCTAAACTCACGACTAAATATGCACGAACACCACGAGAATGGACCAAAACACCAGCGCACAACGATATTTGGTTCAGTGAACACCTCGAGCATCGCCGCGGCCACCTCTCGAGAGACTGCAGTGCTACAAGTACGCGCTCGGGCGGCAATTTCGCACGGCCAGTTTGGCGTAAGCATGCATTTCGCCAAGCCGCGTTTTTCCATACAGTCCTTCCCGGATCGGTGAAGCTTCCCGGCGGAGCGTGAGACGGCAAGCAAGCCGGCCGTAGCAAGGAACTTCCCCTCCAAACCAAACAAGATCATTAGGCCGAAAGGAGACTGTGAAGTTAGAGCAGATCCATCAGGACCAGCACCTGGCCGCCCCTGCAACAGCAGGAGAGCATCTGCTGCTGGTCTGATCTGCGGGATAGAGCGGCGCACGAACGCCGACCGGGCGCGGCGAACGGCTCGTCTTCCAGAACTTCGCGCGACAGCAGCCTGGTTATGCGTTTTGCACCGACACTTAGGTGGACATCTGCCATCTGCCGGCCGCACAAGACTAATGGGCGATGGAAGAAAAGACAGCCTCACTGCCGTTCGGTGCACGTCGGGGCCAATGCCTGAAGTTAGGGTGGGCCGGCCCGGCAACCTATTGGGTGAAGATGACTTTCCTGCCACACGATTGGATCATGCAGAGACCCGAGGGCGGGCCGGCCCGGCAACCTATTGGGTGAAGGTGACTTTCCAGCCACACGATTGGATCATGTAGAAACCCGAGGGCGGGCCGACTCAGCTTCAAGAACTTACGGGGAGATAAAACATGATGCAGGGGAGAGCTGCTCCGAGACAAAGGCACATAGTGAAGCTACCACAGTGGCTGCTGGAGGACTCCGACGCCTGTTTTAGCAGTGCGTCGGTGGCGCAGTGCTCCGGCGCGACGTCTTGCATCACGCACAATGTAAGTCCACAGAAAATAGTCTCCCACCTCCAACCCCCATCCCTTCCTAACCGGACCACCCACGGTGGTGCGCCCAGAAGCTGTCCCTTGACCCCTCCCCGCCGATAAACGTCGATCACGGCATACTGTCTTCCCTCTGCCTGGCTAATAGGAGGGGGGCGACATGTCGAGTGGTGCCTGACGCTTGGCTCACGTCTTAGTGAACAGGTCGGGGCGGCGGGAAGGTAGTTGAGTAACCGGGCTATGTGTAAATGAACACGTACATACGGAGAGTGGGCTGCGAAAGCAGAGGAGGGATCATTCACCTCCTCGATTGAATGTCGACGCGTTGAATGTGACCTTGCAATGCAGAATGGGGGCTGCGATTCCATGGTTTGGCGCTGAAACGATCATGGGACAACAGCAAGGTGAAATGTTTCTCGTTAGAGTGATCAATGATCGTGGTCCTCAAATGGGCCAGACACTTTCCAAGGCCGGTCATGGCATAACTGAGATTTGGCTTATTCTGGTCGCAATTCAGGTAGTACACGAACCAAGAAGCATTTTTCGTTGCGTCGCGACGCGCCGCGGCCGTAGGCACCGACGACTGGCAGAGCGGGTGATAACGGATCGCAGCTGCTTTCAGACGCATCAGGTGGCGCTTCCACCAGACAGACAGACCTTCGTTCGCTTTGCGCCACGCTGTGCCTTTGTGTGGGGGCTGAGTAAGAGATCACAACGGCCACGAACGGCGTTATGCGCGGGACACACCCGAGCCATACGGCTCAGCTATCGTGGGTCGGCAGGAGTCAGGCGACTACAGTCCTGTTCTTATGTAGGTGAATGTGTGACGGCTAGCGCTACTCGAACGCACGGTTCCGTACATTTTCGGCTGGCAAACGGTCGCCCCGCGCCGCTCCGTTCCCTCACCTGACCTAAACACGACGGCGTGAGGAGGCGCAAGTCGCCTGATGTGGCAAGGGACCGGTTCGGCCCGCCCCGTATGCAGGGTTACGCACAGCGTTAACCGGGTCTATGCGTTGGTGCACCAAGACTCGGGAGAAACCGGGATACAGGCCGTTCTCTTCCGACGTGGTGTATACGAGACCTCATATGCCCTCGGCGGCAGGATATTTGGTGCGGATCGAGATCCCACCATCGACGCATGCAGGAAGGGCGACGAGGAGCTAAATCGTCGAACTGGCCAGCTAGGCCGGGTCTCCAGAGTGTCCCGGCCGAAGAGACCGTAAGGCGTAAATGCAGGTCACACCGGGCACTCGCTGTCTGCCGATGGGCTCCACCGTCCCATAAGGTGCGCTGTCCACCTCCAGGCCTCTGAGGGACGCACCGTGGGGCGGTGCCTTGAAACTGCTGACTCCGGCAGGCGGGAGGCGGGGGCGCAGAAGTGCCGGAAGCGATATGTGCATACTGGACGGAGCGCCGCCGAAGGCGCGCGCACAGCAGTGGAAAGCTGCGGGCGGCACACGTGGTCGAAAGAGTGGTGGACTGCCCCATTGCTGACGAGACGCGAGGAAGCGTCGTCAAAACAGGGGGCCGTCACCTTGGGGGCAGGCGGGGAACGAGTTGTCGTCCAGCTTTGGCACACCTGACTGCTATTTGACACTGGTATTCTGGAAGGTTAGTTTTGCTCATTGCTTCTGGTTCCATTTTCGCCCGTTTAAATGTTATCACCACCTAAATGGTGGAGGTGGGATATCGTGGTTAATGGCGCACAACAAATAACGGGGAGACAACCGTTCATGGTACCTGACCGGACCTCCCCCAAGCCAATATGCCGGTCACCCGCTTTATCCAAGCTCTGTGACGTACACGTGTGTGTCAGCGTTGCATGTACCGGAGTCTATACGTGTTGAGTCGTGCCCCCAACGCCCTTCGGCTCGTTTGCTGACCACTGGGCTGCTCATGACTGACTTGCTCCTGTGAGGAGGAGTGATAGCAGCAGCCGGCGACACGGAGAGCCGATGACAGTCGCCGCCCACGCGCCCAACACAAAGCGACCCACACTGGAACCACCTCAACGTCATACAGACGTTCCATGGCGCAATCGTACAATGGCGTGTTAGGGACCGTATTTACTAAAGAGGGAATGCTAATGTCAAACGCGGTCTTTAACATTTAAGAGTATACCACTAGTTATAAGAGAGCCCATTTCATCACGTCTTATGCTTGCCTCAATATCTTAAAATGTGGAGCATTCCCCGTAATTCTAGAAACAGGTAATCCATGGACCATAGTTACTCCGGCCTCTCAAGCCTGCGCCATCGCACAGAGTATTTCTAAAGGTTTTCCAGGCCTTGCCCACATCAGCCCAGCCTCCAGGCGAGACGTCTGGAAATCGACACTTGGCTAGTTCTGCGTTTGTGCACGCCCCGGCGCCAGCTCGGGTGCGGTAGGCATCCTGCGTATAGCAACTGCGAGCGGGCATGTTCGATGAAATGGCATTGTGCACTTCTTCAGACGGTTCAGACACTTCAGTTTTGACGGTCTTGTGCCGCTGCAATATATGCAACAAAATTACGTGGGGCGAGCCAGCCACCCTTGATCCCCACTCAGATAGGGAGGGGGAGGGTCAATACGACCCCCAATATTTTTTTGTCACAGCCCTCCGACTGTCACATGCTCCCGCCTAAATTTTCACAAGTTGGGACATCCATTGCACAGGTTCCGACACCAAACTGCACGTTGGCCTGCTTCACGCCCGGGCGAGCAGCGGCGGACAGCAAACAACGAAACCGCGCGTTCCCGGCCAAAGGTACAACAGATGCATTAAAGGAGCCCTTCATCATAACCATATGCGCAAAACATACAAAGGTGCATACCTACATGCTCAGAATTAAACAAAGAAAATGACTGTTCTTTCCTGTAGCTACGTGACATGGTTTCGTAAATGTGGTCATACACAGCTGAAATAACCCTGTTTTCAGGAACAATCGACCTTTGAACCGGACTAATGTGGTCAATAATTGACCTAGGAACATGACTCTGATCATCAATCGCGAGATCTCGTTTAGAACAATCTCCTGCTTTTTCCGCGAGGCTCTATCATTGTTAGTTTGGACACAGTTTGGCGTCCGTCGCATCCATCCCTTCCCCATTCCGTTTGCATCATGACGAACGGCGAAGCGCAACAAGGGTTAATGATCATAAATCAACATTTTATGTTGGCACATTTCCAAGCGAGTATTCTCCAAAAAATCACAACGTCTGAGCGGCAGTTGTTGCGCCATCTTACCGAGCGCGGGGGATGGAGACTCCACCATATCTGTCCGAGACTTCCATCGCCTGAAACACGGACACAAATACAAAACGATTAGCCGCCAAACTATTGTGACGAGCATCAGCTTGAAGCAACAGGACACTGCGAAATGTACAGCATGGCACGTTTATTGGGGCTCGGGTTCGGATGAAACCCGTCCAATTACGGTCAGTGTTGACCCTTCGCTCAGCCAGCGCACGGGTCGGGAGTGTTTCCAAACCGTGTTTGCCGTTGACATGAAGTATGCAAAGGGGCAGAGGTGCGGCGCAAGGCTCGTGGGCAGGTGACGGGGGGGGGAGGGGATTCAGAGAGAACGTGCAGCGGAGGCGTACCTCAGCTGTGTGAATGATTTCCACGAAAAAGAGATATGGATGAATGATACGGATATACATGACATGACATCTCATGACATGACATGATATGACACATCATGACATTACATGACGTATATGACACATCACATGCAGGCTTCAACGCATGACGCATTCATGCAAAGTTTCAAACACATGTCTTATCGCACGCAGTCTACTGGTCGCCAGAGTGCGCTGGCACTTGAGAAAATGAAATGCCGAACGCAACTTAAGCTCAACGCCGAAATGGCCGTTTTAGAAAAAGATTACCACGGCACCGTAAGTCGAACGCGTCGTTCGAAGTCGCATGTTTAAAATACCACCGATGCACGAAAAGGTTAAGCTAGGACCCGTTCGCGGTCATCGTAAAAAAGCTGCATTTGGTGCACAGAATGTGTTAACGTGACGAGCTGTAAAAAAAAACACTTCGGCTAACTGCATGCTCGAAGCAGCGAACACAGCAGTGTGTTGCGCGGTGTTCAGAAACCATGCACACTGAAAGCAAAGTGCCGACGCGCTGGAACGCAGCTTGTCTGGCCCCATTGCACAGCAGGTGGCATACGAGGTGTGAGCGAGCCACATCTTCATGTGGATTCCATCTCGGGCGTCTAGTTCCCCCGACAGAGAGAAATCCCTACCAGCCGCGGTCGTCTCAATGCTCTCAATGGCTAGCAATGACATTTTCAGCACTATCAGGAAACAATTGTGCTGTAAAAAGTAAAACTGTCCCATGATAGGACGAGTCGGAGCAGGAATCAATGGATTGAGCTGAGCTCGGCGAAAATGGTCCCAAGGCCGCTCAAGCATGCTGTTCGTGCGAGTCAAATAGCATGACCAGCACAGACAATTGCAAAAACGACCCAAACAATTCGACACAGTCTTCCATGGAACAGCCTTTGGTGGCGTTCTTTCGTCTCAATTTTCAGCAGTTTTACGGTACATACCTGACTTATTTATCTTATTCATACCAATGCTCAGCAGAAAACCACCTTAAGTCTCATACGCCTAGCCGTGGTAAAAAGAGAGGTGGGTGCGAATCTGCTAGACGCTTCAGCCGATCGGCTCGCGGTAACAAAGCGGCGCCTGTTGTTGACCGAATCTGCGGGAGGACACGTTGTGCGCCGCCCGGACAGGTGGGACAAACTGCCGTTTTATCCCCGGAACAGCCATGACGGTGGCCCCCATTTCCGAATTGGGCCTCCGCGCCGAAAGGAAACGCTGCCGTCGGCCGGGAAGTGCAGATTAATGGACGCGGGACGCCCGATCGCCGGCGAAAAGCGTCCACGCAGGGATGTTTGGATGACGTCCGCTGCTCTGCCCGGGAAACCCGCCGCGCCGGTGCCGCCGTCACCCCAGCTGGCACCAGGAGCGCCACGCCACGTGACAGCTCGGCCAGAGGGGGACACACAGGACCCGCCCGAGGCGAGGCAGGAAGAGAGCGGGCGGGCCTTGCACTGCCGCCGGTAACGCGCCGCCCAGGTTCCGGCCCCGGGGCATGTAGAGGGCCGAGACCTCGAAGTAGGGCGGCACGGCCGGCAACTTATGTGACGGAGGAGGACGTTTCCGGCCAAGATTGGACCATGTGAAGAAACGAGGGTGGGCCGACCCAGTTACGAGAAATCACGGAAATATAAAGCATGGCGCACGGGGCCGAAAACAGGAGCCTAAAGTTTCTTCAAAAAAGTTTTCCTTGAATTTGTGGGCCTTCTTCAAGCTCTTGACGTGTTTTCAGTCATGGCCGCATCTTCGTTTTCATTGTGTGACTTGTAACTCATTGGCTCGAATGAAACATTCAGCCATACATATGGAGTGATTCGTAGTAAACACAAGGCATGGCATGCATAGCATGGCACGCATAGCATGGCATGACATGACGACGAGACGAAGGGCCCGGGTGAGACTCCCCGCAGTGGTGCAGGACAGCGGCCGGTGGAGGACCCTGACGCCGTGATTGGCACTCATCAGCGCAGGCACGACGTCCCGCATCACCCACAACGCAATGGAAGTCCGCAGACTATCGCCCCCCCCCCCCCCTCTTGCTAACCGGACCATGCACGACTGTGCGCCCCGAAGCTAGTCCATCGACCCCCTCCCGCGAATGGACGTGGGTCACAGCATGCCTCCTTCCCTCCACGTGACTAATGGGGGAGCGCGAAATGTCGGGCGGTACCCTGACGCTCATGAGTCTCTGTGGACGGGTCAGGCGGCGGAGACGGGATGTGTGACCGGGCTATGCGTGAATGAATGAGTAAATACGGAGAATAGGCTGCGAAAGCAGAGGAGGGATAATTCGGTTTCTGGATTGTGTGTGATTGCGTAAAGCGTGACCTTGTAAATACAGGATATTGGCTGTGATACAACTGTCTAGCGCTGAAACGACCATGAGGCCAAGGCAAAGTAGAGCATTTGACGTTAGAGTGATCAATGATCGGCCGGACAGTTTCCAAGGCCGGTGATGGCAATAGCTGATCATTAACTTAAAGTGGTCGTAATTCGAGTGGTACTCGAACCTGAAAAGCATTTTATGCCGTGACCCTCGTGACAAGGCCTCTAGCCGTATGTGCCAACGGCTGGCAGAACAGTTAATTACGCGTTATAATGGCTTTCAAATCGATCAGGTAGAGCTCCCAACAGACGGACCGACTTTTAGCCGGTTCGCGTCACGCTCCCTTTTACAAGGGCCGAGATACAGGAATGCTAATGGCCGAATGAGGTGAAAAGCGTGGAGCACGTCCGGGGAATTCGGCTCGGCCATGGTTAGGTGCCAGGGGCCAGGCGACCGCAGCCCCGCTCTCACGCAGGTGCACGTTTGATGGGTGGCGCGACGCGAAGGCATGGTTTCATTTATTTTAGGGCCAGGACACGGTCGGATCACTTCGTTGACCACCACTTAACCTCAGTCGTGACGGCACGATGAGGCGTAAGTCATAGTGTGACCAGGGGCCAGTTCGGACCGCCCGGGATGCGCAATGGAGGTACGCAAGGCGGTACCTGGACCTGCCCGCTGGTATGCAACGCCTCGGGGGAGACCCGAACACAGACCGTTCTCTTCCCACGTAGAGCACGCCGGATTTTACCAGCCCTTGATGGCGGGATGTTTCGTACGGAGAGATCCCGCCATTGACGCTTATAACGAGAGCGACAAGGGACCAAGTCGTCAGACTGGCCGGTTGGGCCGAGTCTTCAGAGTCCGCCCGCCATAGAGACCGTAAGAGCGTAGACGTGGGTCATGCCGGGCGCTCGCTGTCTGCCGTTGGGGTGCACCGCCCAATACCGTGCACAGTCTACCTCCAGGCCTCTGAGGGACGCACCATGGGGTGGATGGTGGAATCTTACAAAACTTACTCCGGCAGGCGGGAGGCGAGAGCACAGAAGCACTGGAGGCGACGTCTCCGCACTGAACGGCGCGGCTGCCTGAGGCGTGTGCGCGGCATTGGGAAGCTGCGAGCATTAGGCGTGGCCGAAGGAGTGATGGGCCTCCGCACCGTGGACAAGACGCGAAGGAGCGTCATCCGAATAGGGAGGCGTCGCTCTGGAGGTCAGGCGAGGGAACGAGTCGTCCTCCAGCTTTGGTACACCGGATGCCGGCCGAGTACTTGGACGGCCCTGAGCAGCATCCAGCACTGGTTTCAGTACTCGTCCTGGAGGTCAGACGAGGGAACGAGTCGCTGTTCAGCTTTGCTGCACCGGATGTTGACCCAGCACTTGGACCCTGGCCTTGGACCTTGACTTGGACGAGACGATGTGTTCAAGTGGCGCTTGGTGAGAGATAAGAATGGTGTCGGGATGACAGAGGATAGATGCAGGCAGAAAAAGGCCGTAAAGGTGTGCTAGTTTTATGCGAAGTAGACGGCCGAATGACAGATATAGGTTACTCGTTTTTACGCTTTTTCCTTACCAGCTCAATACATCATTGTTTAACTGCGTCATGGAACATTGGTATGGTGCTGAGATGCTGCTAAACTACCCGTGCAAAATTACTGGCCCAGCATTTACCTGCTGAGCTCCAGTCTCCCGAGGTGTGGGTGTGGCGGTACTTGGGTGTTCGCTGAACCAAATATCGCTATGTGCTTGGGTTTTGGCCGCTTTTCGTGGTGCCCTTGCATATTCATTCGTGAGTTTACTGTGTTGGCTTGTATTCGCCTCGTCGGTTATGGCACTTATCTTAAGTTATTCGATTTCAAGCCTTGTTTCCGTAATACCTAGCCCGATGTCCAACTTCTTGCCTTATGTAGCACAAAACGTGATTCCTGGCTGAACCTTGCTCAGACTGCACAATCTTGTTTGAGGGCCAACTGACGTCCGTTAGGTTTGAAAATCGCTCTCCAGATCGCCAGATATGGACAGCTCGACGATTGTATTGCTCTTGACCTTGAACGTCGCATGGCCCATGGGGCGGCAGGATTTGAATGGCGCTTCTATGATGTCGTGCATGCCTGAATGACATTGAAATAGAATGCACGAAGTAGTCCGTGCATCTTCGCGGGCGCATAGCTCAGAAACTACAGGGTTTTAGGTCAACCCGACACTGACCGGGAATGAAATCTGCGCTGCTTGTCCGATACAGGTGATAATTCAAAAATGTCTGAATATATCAGCGCGAAACTTTAAGTCGCTGTTAATTGATGAGTTCTACGCCTTGTCTCGAAATAACAATTATGAGACCAGGATAGATC